TTATTATTATTATTATTAAATGTAGTGGCGAAAATGTTTTCACTTGCGTTTTGTTGTACTTGCTATAGCAGCCAAAATGACATTTTGGAATGCTCTTTGTAATTTTCTCCACATCTCTAACTTTTTAGGTCCAAATCAGCGCAGAGGTGTGAAAGTAGAGGGAATGAAACACAGAATTCCAAAATTTAGATGAAATTCATGAAAATTCTTTTTAATGAAAACTGCAGGGCTGTAATTTATCATAAATTCCAGTTGATAAACATTCCGTTAATGCAAGATTCAGGGCTGTCTTAATGAGGGCATTAGCCTGTGACGCTTGTAAACCTGTTACAGCTGAGTTCACTCAATATAAAGGGCAAAGGTGTCAATAGCCGACATGTTATACTGGGTCACGTACTACACTGCCACAGGTACTGTCTCGAATGTAATGCCTAAGCCTGCTTCCAAACTCAACGACCTGGAGACTCGCTAAATATGGCCAAATTATTATGTGGGATACTTTTCATTTGCCTAGATAATTCGAAGGAGGTTAATTTGTGATATTAAATCGCTGTTTTCTTTACAGGAGGAGGAAATTGAAACGGAAAGAAGGCTGCAAAGAGCCACTTTTGTCCAGGAGTCATTGGACTCCACTCACAACAGCTCTCAGCAATTGGAGCAAGATGTAAGGGATGCATGGCTGAGGGCCTTAGCCTATAACCCACGTTTTGGAGGAAGGGGACGCACATGTGCCGATGAAGAGGTGAGCAACCGATTTCTTTCTTTCTTTTAATGTAGCGTGACTCATTAGTTGAAAGGTTTTTACCAATCATTTAGTAGACGGGTTCAAAAATGGCACGGAAAGCTGTTACTTAGAAGCTCAGTAAACTATATACATCAGAATTATTTCTAGGATGTTATCTGATTGAGAAGAAGAAACTGTGCTTAACTGTGCACAGTGCACTGTTTTTCTTTAATAACGAAAGCATCAAGTCAACTGCTAGAGGAAGCGTCTATGAATGTAATGATATTAACCTATTGCCTGAGAGATAACTAGCTTCTGAAGTCTGAGTGCTTGTTTGAAGTTAAAGGTCTTGCAGGGTTTTGCCTGTTTTTAAGTCTTGGTATCTGTAAGTATTAATCACTGCACAAAAGTCGGAATTTTGTTACTTACTTCTCTTTTGTATTTGTGAACTTGATTTCTTTTTCATTCCAGAAGAAGTGCAAGAAACCGGGACAACCAAAGTGATACCATGCTGAACTACTGGATATGCTGAACAGATCATAATTAGAATATATATATCTTATTAGAAGTTTTGTTGTGTAGTATCGCTGAGTATTTTTACGAGTTGTGCCGTATTTTGACGAGCCCTACGGGCTCGTCAAAATACAAATAACGAGTACTGAGCAACACTCAAGGTCTTAAAATAACTGAGGAGAATGCGTTACCTTTCTTTAATAACAAATGGATAGACATTCTAGTCTTCTCGGATAAGGACGAATAAACCGTAGGTCCCGTCTCCTGCATCTATTAATTAGATAATTTGGTTAGGCAGGGGACGTTAAAGAACCCACTCACGAGATTACTGTGACGTGGTCTGGCCTGTTTACTGGGAATTGGGGGGAGGGGGCATCTTCAAATAAGTTTCCTTCGATTGTTTGTAAACTGCTGATGCAGTCTGGCCAAAGTCCCCCGAACAGTGTTGTGATGCGCATTTGATCATATCGACATGTTAATTTGCGCAATATAAATATTAAATTATTATTATTATTATTATTATTATTATTATTATTATTATTATTATTATTATTATNCTGTTTAACCCGGTACTCTACAATAGACGAGTACAAATACCGCGTGATATTTGTACTCGTCTATGGCGTTATTTGTACTCGTCTAGGTGTAGTTGGATAATAAATATGGGTACTAATTGTTCTAAAAGCCGTAAATGATTGAAACAAACAGAATCGCACCTCTGGCAACTAGAGAGGGTTAAGGTAGGTAGTTGGTTGGTATTCGGAGCGATGATATCAAAATTTATATAGCTATTGGCTTAAAGGTTTTCTGAAAAACAGTGCACGCGACAACCTCTAAAGGCATTACAGGTAGTTTTTTAGGTCACTGTTTCTTGACCTCAGGATTTCAGGGAAATCTGATAAAACATCACTGTAAAGAAGAGGCGCGTTAGGCTTCATTTCTCTATTTTCGCAAAACTGACTTTCAATTCTAAACTTGATGAAAAATAAAATAAAAAAAGGACTTACTGACTTTACTGCAGTGACCTAAAGAAAAACATGTTTAGAACGTAATTTTTTCCTTTCGTTCCTCTCGTATTGACGTGCAGGTCGGTATTTATCTCCTGTTCATTTGTCCATATTTATTGGATTCACTTACTAAAATTCATTGATTACCTGATACCAAGGTTACCAGTCGAGATTGTCGCGTGTACTTTTTCCTTTTTTTCGATAACCTTTCTGCAAACAACCGTATATATCTCTCAGTACTTTATTCATTCTTATATATTATTCATACTACTCTTACAAAGAGTGCATTGTTACAGTGGAACTTCGATTTAACGAACCGACAACCTTTTGTTTTCTCCGTGGTTTGCTTTCGGAAAACTGCTCTCATCTTGGAACAGATAGTGTCCAGCAAAAAAATGTCTGAATATTTCTGCACTAAATGGAGGATATTGTTTAATATATACTGATGGCTATTAAACTTGTTCGATTAGTCCTAGGAATTCATTCCAGGATCTCGCTCACGTCGAGCAGTCTTGGATATCGCTGACTCAAGGAAGGAGACACTGTCCCTAGTTATTATGAAATTAAGCTCGTCACATAATGCCAGACTTTAAGAATCCCTTACTCATCTTAAAAATTCATTGCCAGATCAAAATTCCATATCAGATGCAAGTTCAGATGCAAGTTTATTAGGTCTTCCAAAACAATTACTTACAATAAACACCGCCTTCAAATAGCGGGCTAATCTAGGCGGATGATGTTAGGGACAAAGAAACACGAATTACTAATTGAAGGCGTTAAAAGAAGTCGATTTTGAATACATTATTTGTCAAAAGAGGAAAAAAAAAGTGATAAAAAGTGAAGAAAAATATAATTTATGATTGAATTGTAATTAAGATGTCTTTTTTATTTCAGAAATAAGAGTGCTAGTGTCAGCATAACTGTCCAGAGTTTCTAGAGTTTCAAATAGTAATGCTTGAATTTTCTTTTTGAACATGTGCTTTGGTAGTTTTCGATAGCTTTCGGGAATGCTGTTCCAAATCCTAGCACCAACAATGAAAAAAGAGTTTTTATGATGATTGAGCCTTGCATGATTAATATAGTAGTTACTAGAAGATGTAGAGGGAGTATTATACTGATGTATGTCTTGTGTAGAAGTAAATAGATTACAGCTATTTTTAGGGTGCAGAGTTAGCGGTTTTATCAAACATTAAGATCGATGAAAGTTTGATGTAGACCATTGAGATTGGCAGAATGTTAGATTGGGCGAAATATGGAATCTTATGCGTTCTGAAAGTCAGAAAATTGATGAGGCGAACGGCTCTCTTTTGAAGTATAAGAATTTTTCTTAATGAGATTTGGAAGCTTGGCCCCAGGCAATGAGGCCGTAAGATATATAGGGAGAAATTAATGAATTGTAAATACTTAGAAGTGTTTTTAAAGGGACAAAGTGTCTTAGTCTCGAAATAATTCCAATATTTCTGCTGATTTTTAGAGCAATATAATGAATGTGGTGTTTCCAGGATAAATGTTGGTCAGTTATTACCCCTAAGTATTTAAGATTATCCTTACGTTCAAGATCAAAGAACGTTTTAGTGCGGCCATCAGGCCTTTATGCAAACGTCAAAATGAATGCGTTTTTGATATGGATGAAAAATTATATAGTTTGTTTTCTTAATATTGAAGGAGAGGTTATTTGCGATTAACCAGACGACAACTTTAATTAGTTCACAGTTGACGATAGTTTCGAGGGGTTTTAGGTTTTTATCAGCGTATAAAAGGTTAGTGTCATCAGCAAAAAGGTAAATGGTAAACTTGTCTGAGGCCATGTAGATATCATTTACATAAATAAGAAATAGTAGGGGGCCAAGTGCACTCCCCTGAGGAACGCCACAAAGGGTACTTTCCTTTCTAGATACGTGGGGACCTACTTGAGTGGGGTCTGGATTCTATTTGACAGATAGGAGGAGAACCAGTCGTTAACTATACCACGGATGCCGTAATGGGATCATTTATGAAGGAGGATCGAGTGATTGACAGTATCAAATGCTTTTTGAAGGTCAATAAATACACCACAGGAGAACATTCTCTTGTCCATGTTTGATTGAATTTTTTTTACAATAAATTATCCAGGATTGCATGCTCGGTTGAGCGCTGTTTTTGGAAACCGTTCTGAGACTCGTAAAGTAAGCAATGTTTGCTAAAAAGGACTTTTGGCGGTTGAACATAATTTTCTCAAAGAGTCTATTAAAGACCGAAAGGAAGACTCTGACTTGCATACCCCGGTCACAGACTGTACTCAGACCCAGTCGCTGTTTGCTCATGGTGCTCGAGGAAAGCGAAGAGTGTGATGGGGAGAGTGTCAGTCCAACATGCTTTGGTCACATATAGGCAATCTTTCTATCACTCCCACAACTTCCCGCGCCCTTCGCTTGCCTTGTGGCTATAGTATTTACGTCAGAATATGAACTCCATTTCCTCCTTATTTCTGAGAATTACACAATACACTTCGCATAAATTATGGATGGCGTCCTATCTATCTATCTATCTATGTTTTAATCTGCAAAGGGCAATACAGCCCATTTCAGATATACCCACCCATCCCATCCCATACCAGGGGAGGACGTCCACCCCACAGTAGTCTCGTGCGTGGGAAATTAACGTCTCCTACCCCTAACCCTTCAGGAGACAGAACCTACGGTTTATTCGTCCT